CGACCAAACGTCGCCCCGAAAAGAACATTTCTAAGTTCCCATTCATTTCCTTTCGGTACAGATTTCTGATAACATAATTTTATTATCGCAGGCTAAAGATGTTCCGTCGAAAGAAATCGGTCAGTGGACACATCGTGTGCGGCTTTTAATTTTTCATATCTATCCAAAGCCCTTTGGTCCACCTGTTTTCCGTCACTTATCGAAATAACATTTTCATTTGGATTTTTCTTTGGCCAGTTGGCCAGCAGTTTGTTTACGTATTCCAGATAACACAGCCATCGCTAAAACACACCCGATTCCTTTATCCACTCAGAATTTCCCTGTCATTGTAATGACACTCTTTCGCCATTTGTTACTTATCAAAATATCCTTTAACCATTGTCTCTTAGCCGTGGTGTTCTGCTTATCATCCATGTTTTGGGTCTCGCCTTTTTTTTTTTCTTCTTTTCTTTCGTTTCTTTTTCTGCCTCGTTAAATGGTGCCACAACAAAAAGGATTGGTTAAGGACCAAAAGTTACTCAGAACAACAAAAGATAGGAAGTTGTGAAGGGTCATTTTTGCCCACCTCCTGAAAGATCACATCATCATGTGATTTTGACCATGGAATACTTATAAAATTTAATGGCATCAGGTTATCAGTTTGTAGCAATGTTGACTTATTTGTTAAAGAGAGATATTTTTCTTGTGTTGGAAGGAGATATATATATCTATGAGATGGATTCTAGTGGAGATATTATTGTGGTTGCATCAATTTTTTTTTCCTGAATAGGTGTGTAGTGGGTTTATGCTATATGGTTTACTTGGGGCTAAGAAGACTCACTGGAGAGGAATTATTTATATATTATTATTTATATATTGTTATTATTAATATTTATATTATTGTTTTATTTCCTTTGGTTTCTGGTATAAAATACTCATTTCTTTCAGGGTCCTGACCAGAGACCTAAGGTCAGAAATGGCACCATGACATTTTTCACTGAGCAGTTAAAAAAAAAAAAAAAAAAATTGCACATATTTTACATAGATAAAGCCCTTTGTAAGGTGTGGGCTGTGCTTGTAAGTACAATTTTTTGTACTTATTTAAGGCATGGGCAACCAGGGATTCCTTCAATGAGTCTATTGGAATGTTTTCCAATCAATCTGAGGGCTTCAACCTCAATTGAAATTGTTGATGTTCATGTGCTACATTTTTGAGATTTTGATTTCAAGGTCTTTGTATTTTGATAGCTTTTTGTAGACCTTCAAAGATACAACAGTCTGCAGGGACTGACATGTCAATAAGGAGGCACATTTTGTCTTTGTAGTTTCTAATCACAATGTCTGGGCAATTAGTTTTGATTGTTCTGTCTGTATGTATTGTGAAGTCCCATAAAATTGTTATAGGTCCCATCTCCGTAACTGGGTGGTGTACATACCAATTTCTTGCAGTTTCCTTTCCGTAAATGTTGCAGATTTTCTAGTGTAGATCTTGGCCCACTCAATTGTGTCATGTTTTATATTCAGTGGGTCTCAATACCATGCTACCTGATACAAGATGGTCAATTGTTTCTGGATATTTATCACAGAATCTGCATTTTGGACTAACACAATATTATTATTTATATTATTATTATTTATATTATTTTTATTTATTATTTCTTGTAGTAGTAGTAGTAGTAGTAATAGTAGTAGTTGTAATAGTAGAAGGTGGTTTGTGTCTTTTTCTTTTATACTGCTTTACAAAATGCCACTTAGTGGGTGTTAAGAGAAGTCTCCTGACAGACACAGTGGGGTAATCTCACAAATGTAACTAGCAAGCATCCAGGAACATTCTTGGTCAGGTCCTTCTTCCTTTCGATGTCAATGGATGCAGCCAAACAAAATTGGATAAAGAGGACTTGTTTACTTGTTTCTCAGATGATACAAAAAAGAAACTTTGTACTTTGTTTGGCATTTATTTATGTATAAATCAAGATCTCTGAACACTAAGCAAAGTTAATTGAGTTTTTATACAATAATTACTTTGGCTCTACCCTCATCAGAAAGGGAAGAACTGGAGAAAGAGTTAAGCAACATTTGGTATGAGGATTTTATAGACTGAACATGCATCCAAAAAATGAATTTATAGGATGGAAGTAAATCTGATGTGAGAATCATTTTGATTGCATCTTCATTCTTCCTTAAATGAAGAAATTGAATGGTACAGTCGAGGAGGAGGAGGAGGAGGGGAGAGCAAAATAACATGAGTGTCAAGTTATTTCCCCTTTTTCTGAATGAGTTCTACTTTGTTGAAATAAAAACTAATGCTGTTATGTAAGCAATTCTTTTTTGGGGTTGGGCAATCTTGATGATTGCATTGGTTGTGGGTTAGACAGAAGGAAAAAGAGAGAGAGAGAGAGAGAGGGAAGAATAAAGGTAGGAGAAAGAATGTCCTGCAGAAGGAATGAAGGTGTAAAAACCTTAGCAGAAATTAATGCAAATCAAAGATCTCAACATAGTAGTCTTAAACATCTTAAAAGTCTTAGACATTTTAATTGTAGAAGTTGCAAATCTCAATGGTAAGAAAAAGAGAAATATATATAGAACCAAGGAGGAAGAAATAGAAATCAGAATAAAAGGAGCCATCTTCATGAAGTACAGGGCATATTTCTGTTATTTTCTGTCTCTAACTTTCTGCTGCTAGAAATCAATTACATATATAAAATATATCTCTATGTTATATTTACAGCAAAAAGTTACAAACAAAAAGACAAATGAATCCTGTTCTGATCTGAATATTAAACTATTAAAGTAAGCGCAGGCATGTAATATATCTACTATTATAAAGCTTTTCTATTTGTACAGCATGGTAAAATTAATTTACAAATAAAGGTAGAGTGCACAGATACCACAGTAATCCAAGGCAGATAACACAGATGCTACACTGGCCCAAGGCAGAGTGCACTAATGCTACACTGGCCCAAGGCAGAGTGCACTGATGCTACACTGGCCCTAGGCAGAGTGCACTGATGCTACACTGGCATTAGGCAGAGCACACTGATGCTACACTGGCCCTAGGCAGAGTGCACTGATGCTACACTGGCATTAGGCAGAGCGCACTGATGCTACACTGGCCCTAGGCAGAGTGCACTGATGCTACACTGGCCCTAGGCAGAGCGCACTGATGCTACACTGGCCCTAGGCAGAGCGCACTGATGCTACACTGGCATTAGGCAGAGCGCACTGATGCTACACTGGCCCTAGGCAGAGCGCACTGATGCTACACTGGCCCTAGGCAGAGCACACTGATGCTACTCTGGCTCTAGGCAGAGTAGACTGATACTACACTGAGCCCAAGAAAACATGCCAGTCTACATAGAAATAATCTTATTATTTTTGATAGGCATATATATACACACACTCACATGTAAAAATCTTAATATGACTGGTTGTTGAAAAAGTTTCTAGCACATCTTCAGAGTAAAGATTCCACAAAATATGTCATTTTTGAAAGAATGTCAATTAATATATTTGTAAAAGAAAAATAATAAAAGAGATGGTATTGTTAGTCAGAAAAACAGAGACAGGAACAAAAGAGAATAAATTGGACAAAAGTATTTAGAAAAGACAGAGAAAAGAAAGGAATGGTGGAAAATGGTATGGGTAGGGCACAACAGAGTAGGGAAGAGATAAATAATGGGGGAAATAGAAAATGACAAGTAGTAGAAAGAGTGGTCCAGATAAAAATCAGGAAGTATATATAGGTATTTGTAGCGTACTGATGGAAAATATTCATGTTCCTGCAGGAATCTGTCCCCTCCCACATGGTGTACATAACCCATAATTCTAGCTGAGAATTTCCAGTCACTTGATCTAACATGTGGTCTGCTAGAATTCCTGATCTAAATCTCCTCGGCTACTTTTTTCTGGTGTGTTTTCAAGGAGGAAAGCAATCAGAAGCTCTGTAATACTAATTTTTAACATATTTCAACATTATGTTGAAAGCCACCATTTTGAACACAATGGCCAACGTGAATGAGAACAATCAGGTTTAGGCCTGAAATCACTTTTGAAATTGTATCTGAACTGTCCTTCAAGCTGCAGCAGTTTTATTGAATAAGCACAGAAACAAATTCCTATTATGATATCTGTAGATGTAAAAACAAATTTCTTCTACACTACCTACAACCACATCATGAATCAAAAGACTAAATAAAATACCATAAGCTAAATCTAATAAACTTTATTTGGAATACCAAAATTTACGATTGAAGAAAATATAGAAAACTATTAAATAAATTAAATAAATAAATAAATAAAATTTAATAAGTGTAATTACTGAATAGTCTAAAGCATTGGTCCTAAACAAAAAAACTGGAAAGGTCTGGTTTCTTCCTTTCTCTAATCCCTGTGCTCTATATACAGAGCCCATGAAAGGTGGAGTGAGACATGGCCTGAAGATTATTTGGTGTGAAACTGATAATCCCCGTATAGTGCTGGTTCCTATGTTTAAACTGTATATCTTCAAATGCTTTATCTCTGATATTGATCGCACTCCCAATAAATATAGCATATTTTAAACCCCTCTCTCTCTCTCTCTCTCTCTCTCTATATATATATATATATATATATAACATCAATTAGCTAAGTGACAAGATAAAGGATAAAATTTGCAATGTACACATTTTTCTCAGAAAATGTTTGCTGGATATTGGAAGTTATAAAAAACAAAAAGATAACCAGGCCTGTTTAGATAAAATTTATGTATTTTGAAAAAGTATCTATTAAGAAACAAAAACACCATAAAGGCTAAAGTATTTTAAAGAGGGAAGACATGATAATTAATCATGTCTGCCAAATTGTGTGCGCTTCTCTCAGCAAAATCTTCTGCCCTCAAGCACACTAATATCTATGAAGTGTGAAGTAATGTGGAAAATTCCTCACAGTCCAAACCTCATTTTCTTGAAAAGTGAAGTTGAAAGGGTTGGCATAATTAAATGAAGAAGCAAAATTGAAAGTAATTATTTAAGAGAGAAACTCACCCAAGTCTTCCATCATTTTGGCATAGAGAGGATGATCCCAGGAAGTTCGTTCACTCAAACAACTGGAAAAGAAAATTAAAAATAGTAGATTAAAAAAACAAAAAAAAAAAACAAAGAAAAACTCACACACACAGATCATGTGAATGTAAAAAAAAAAAAAAAAAAAAAAATCACAATTTTTGTTTACCTCTAATTTTTTCAAAGACAAGTTTCTGTTTGAATTTCTGGGATGAGGAGGAGTTATTTAGTCTTTGTTATAACACTATTTCAAGCATTGTATCTTCCAGCCTCCCTTTTTCAGTGCCTGTCACAGAAGGCTGGAGGTCATAATGGCTGAAATGTTATGCTAAGAACAAAGAGGAGGATGTTAGTCCAAATATAAATAAGAAGGAAAGTATCAAACATAAAAATTAAATATTTCTAATCATCAACAGAATAAAAGTTTCTTATAACTGCAATAACATTTTCAGTACAAAATAAAAATCACCACTGAATTATTTAAGTGACAAATGTATCTAAGGATTCTTCTGCATGAACAGTTTTTTTTTTTTTTTTTTATTATTATTCATTGTTTTAAACAGAAACAAGTTTTGCTGCCCAATCTGTACCCAGACAATTTCTCAGTTTAGAATGAACAGATCCATTTGAAGAGAAAATAAATTGAATGACTGCAGATGAAGCCATTGCTAACAGGAATTATTTTACTACAGAATGTCTATTACTGATCAACACATTTGCATGTGAATTCTGCCATTTATGAGCTGATATAGTTTTATGTCTGGAAAAAGGAAGGATCTTGCAATGTCATGACAGTGAGAACAAGTAGGTAATGTCTTTCATTTGGTATATTCTATTGCAATATTTATTTCTTCATTTAGTGAATTTCCTTGGAAATAAGGATGAATCCTGATACCAAAAAATTGGACTTTGATGATGACTTGGTTCTGGTGTTTTTTTTAATTTTTTTAGTTTTGATTTGGAGCTTTGTTCCATAATCCTTTCCAAATAAATATTAATGGCTTCAGTAATAGTGCATATGCCATTCTGTGTCTTATGCAGGGCTTTTGCTATTGGCAGTAATTGAGAAAGCAGTTCCTCTGCAGATTGTTCCAGCACACGATGATATACCTTGCTTCTTCTCGTCTCAAGATCTATTTTTCTGCAACAGTTATAGGTTTGAAATGTTACTACATTATTGCTATTTCCATGGTAAACGCTTAAATGAGATCCATTCTTTAGTTCAACCAGTTCAGACCTTTACACTTAGGACATACCATATCGCTCCTATTTCCCCCTGTATTATAAATATAAGGAGAAAGTTTCACTCAATTTCCTAAGAACTGTTACTTTGTGGAACAAACTCCAATGTAGATGTTCTCCTGAAACACATCAATCTTTAACCTCTTCAAATGAACAATCAATTGTTACCTATCGTGTTTTGTCTACAGATACTTCACTTTTTATTATCTCCTCTTTCATTTATATCATCCACCTCATTCATCATAACCATTTTAATAGTAATCCTGTACCTTAAGTGACTCTGTATTTGCAGGAAATTTAGTATATATCATAAATAAAAAAAGACAATTGCAATTCTTTTTTCTAATAATTTTAATGTCCTGTTGATATTGAATGCATTTTTGTTATTACATTACTAACATCTCTTCTACTTTACTAAAAACTTTACAATTTCCTGAAAGTATTCTGTAGTGTGGGATTTTGCTTGATATGTCTATTGTGTTAACAATGTATATATGTGACCAGTTGACATTGTCAGGATGACACATAATGGGTTGTTTATGAATGTTGGACCACTCATCTAATGAAAGACATACTTTTTTTTCATTTTTGAGATTAGCATACTTTTTAGTATTTCTTCTCAGAGACCAGAAGTTGGTATATCTCTTGCCTTAGTGCCAACATCTCAACTATTCTATAAAATTGAGAATGTTGGCAAAATTGAAATGGAGAGTTGGTTACAAATACCATTTTAGCAACTTCAAGATTGCTTTTATTGGAAATGAATTTCACAAAAAAGATGTTGTTTATATTATTTACATTCAAACTAATATCCTCATCTTTGTTGTTATTATCATAACGGTTTGATTGTTGTGCCCTCTAGCAATCTACAGATGTCTTTTGATACAGGTAACCATCATGAATTTCAAAATGGAACACGTTTCTTTAATCTATTGGGTAGGTTGTTCCTGTTTTACTGTCCATGTCTGGTGGTATCTCGTCTATTCTTTTTAGTACTTAAGACTCAGTGGAAACAGGATGAGCAATAACTGAGTAGTACAAAAGAGATCAAGACGAGATATCCCTAGACAGGGGAATAAAAACAAACTACCCCTGCATTAGTGTGATAAAGACGAAGACAAATGTAAATAATCATAACATCTCATCCCTAAAATTTAGATTTCCATTTACTTTAATAAAAAAAAAAATTGAAATTTCATTAAACTTAAAAGTAAAAGACCCAGAAATCCTGACAAGTGTTGAAAGCCCCAGATCTGAAGCTAAAACCCCAGGGTTGACAGCCATATCAGTGCAGTAGCTGTCAAAAATGATAAGATTGTTTATGCATGAATGTGTTATATAGATAATCACATTATTAATGTCAAATTATTTTAAAAAGCTGCAAAAATGAAATACTTAACTTTTTAAATGAAAACCAAATCCATAATAAGCTCAATTTAAGTGCTCCTGCCTTTTACAAAAAAGTCAGATTAAAATTTTTTTTCAGCAGTTAAACTTATCAAAATTCATCCAGCTTTATGTGAAGAATGGCTAATTTGGCAATCTGATGTTATTCTTCTTTCTCCTCCTTCCTAATCTCTTCAGCTACAGAATTTAATTTGCTTCCCTTTAAACATGCACATAAAAAGCAGATTTTTAAAAAATAAATCGGATTTAAATCAAATAAATCCAATTTAATTAAAACAAAATCTGATTTTTTAATTTTAAAAAAAAAAGAAGAAAAACAGCCAAGAGACCTTATATATGAGTCAGAACAAAATTTTGTAGCATTTTTCAATTAGCTAACATTGGAATGTGTGGTTTTGTTTATGTGAATTCACTTCACAGATGCTCTGAAATTTTGCTCCAACCCCCCCCCCCCACCATTATATTAAAACTGCCACTGCCTCTGTTCTTTAAACCAAGTTTAACTAAGAGACAAACTCATATTCATGCAAGAAATAACCTAATTTATAGACGTACATGTATGTGTGTACATTTTCCACTTTTCAAATAAGGTGTTGAGTATTGTGTACTCAAAGTTGTGGATAAACTGTCTGAAGTTCATATTTTGTAATTATTTCTTCAAATACATCTAATTATTGCAGTCATTATCAAGAACTGATGTCTGTTTGGTAGATAGAATTCCTTTGTCTTCATCCTGGTATTCTTTAGGAAACTGGAAGTTTGAAATAATCTATAGTAATGTCATGATTATTGGGAATGGGGCTGCAGAAAAAGAAAGTGATTTATTTTATTTACTTTTTTCTTATTATTTATAATTTATTTGTTTTTATTTTATTATTTTATTTATTTTTTGTATTCTTTAATATTAATATAAAATATGTACACATTAAATATGTCATATGCACTTCATGTGGTGAATGATATTTTATTTAAGGGGCGTTGTTTATTTTGTAATATTTTGAGTCTTTCCTTGCATTGGGTGTTCTATAGTATTTGTGTATCATCTAATAATATTTGTCTAATATTGACAGCTGTATTCGTGATGTGTTAGTCGATATGTGCATGGATTGCACTGAGTTTCAACAGGTAATAAGACAATCTGTGGGAGAATGTGGTGCATATATGTCCGATGTAATTATTCAATGCTATTCTTTGATTATTAATTTTGGGGATACAATCACCCAAGGGGCATGAAAATTCAGACACATTATTTTTATACAAGAGGTGGGAGGGTGTTTGAGGTCTTATGTTGTTGGTAAACATTAGATTAGATGTTTTAAACTTTTTATAGTAGATAAATCTTAAGTGTTTGTTATGCACATTGAGTGCTAATGTATCAGTGAATTATGTTTTTAATTGCTTTTTCATTGTTTATAATTAGGGTACATCTGGTTGTAATAGAAGTTGATGGGTTTATTTTTGTTTACATCAGGGAGGGGGTTTTGCATTATTTTTTCTAATTTTTGTTAAGGCTGATTTCATTTGTTTAATGATGACATCATGAGGGATGATTAGAGTTTGTTTAATGTTGCTTAGTTCCTTAGAATGTGTCCAAAGAAGAGATTATTTTGGTCTGGTAAATTATGTTTTTTTATAATAGCTATGTTGTATCTGTGAGAACATTCACTTTTTCAGTTGAATAAACACAAGTTTCTGTTAGTAGGTTTTTTGTAAATATGTGGTAAAATTATGGCTATTAGCATCAACTAATACATTGAGGAAAGGGATTTTCTTATTAGTATCGTGCCTGTAAGTAAAGTGTAGGATAGAATTATTCTCAATGGTTTCTTTTAGTTTTTTTTTAAATTTCTTCTAAGCTGTTTGCTAACATGAATATGGCATCAATATAACATGTATATGTGGAGGAGACTTAGTGGGATTATTGAAGACTGTTTTCTAGATGTGTAATGTAGAAATTAGATAGTCTGCTCAAGAGGTGAACCCATCACTACAGTGTCAATTTATATATAAATTTTGCCATAGTAGTCATAAAAAGATATTTGTGTTGTGCAGAAGAGGTTTTTGCAGATTAGTTGATCTAATTTTAGGAAGTGTGAACAAAGGATGATTGTCTATGTTCTGTTGGACTATGTTGATAGTTTCTTTGATTGGAACATTAGCAAATAAACTTTCAGTGACTACTGAGGCTAGGATGTGATTATATATAATGGCTGGCTGCTCATATCTGAGTATGCCTGCCTACTACAATGGCTAGCCAATTCCTGTTGCAGACACCTGCTTAGATATATTCGTATTTGTTCACAGAGCCCTCCTGTAGTTTATACTCTATGCTGAGTGGATCTTCATTATAGGTTCTAGGAGAGAGAGCGCATTATCTGGCAAGATCAACAGTACGAACAAGGCCAGTATGCTCAAACCCTTGGTTACAATGACTTGTGACTTTATGCTAGCACAACTACTGATGGCTCTCAAATAGTTCTGGACACCCACTTTCATTCTGAAGGCTTGAGTCAACCCGTGGTATGGTATTCAGGCACACTTGGATCACTTCCTTAGGCTGATAACCTCAAGATGTCACCTTCCTGACAAGTTGACCACGGTGAGATTTGAACCTGGGTCTCATGGTGGGAAAGCGAACATTTTAACCACTCATCCACATGTGTGCGTGTGTGTGTGTGTGCCCACATGCTTATTGGTTATATGCCATATGCATATATATATATCATGTTATATAATTGTATATTTCTTTGAAATGTGTGGGTAGTGTAAGAGTTAGTAATCCAGAAACTGAAATCTGCATGCTGAGTTCAATTTCTCATTGAGTAAAAAGGTTCCATTCCTTTACACCAATATTCTTGTCAAAGATATGTATTCTTATGGCTCATTGTTTTTATTGTGTAATAAATTTTTGAAAATTAAACTTTGGAATCTAAATAAATATTATTTTTTCTTTCAAATTCTTTATAGAGTTGCTAAAGACTAAAAACATTACATCCTTAATATTTTATTTTTTATTTTAAAGTCCATACCCATTGGCCACTTGAGGTAGAGGGTTACAGAATAAGAGGCACAGCTTATGTGAATATATGGGGAAGATAATAGTTACCCCTAGATTTGAACAGGTTAAGATAGTAGTGATCAAGGAAGCATCCTCTTCAGAGTCAGTTCCACAAGGCAGTGCTTCATGAGAAGAAGCTACTTGAGTGGATCCTACATCTTTCCAAAGGAAGAGATAGGGAATGAGGGTGGTGGTTCGCAACAATGTGCATGCTATGGTGGGTCTTAGCTGTGAATGTTACAACTGGTTGAACTAAGTAGTGTAGTTCATCTGAACACTTTCCGTGGAAATAGCGATAAAGCAGTGAGAGGTTTGCAATGTCTCTTTTGTAAGAAAAGGGTTGTAAGGTGGAAAGTAATTTATCACGCACAAGAGCATGGAGATGCTTTTGGACTATTGAGAGTGGCAGCAGTACTCCATTTTCAGCTTCTTTCTGGCTCTTGTAAAAGGTAGAGGGTAGCAGGAGGAGTCAGGTACTCACTGGACTAGTACAAGGAACCAACCATTTTTCCAGCATCTTTAGTGATGAATAGTATGTAAGAGTTCCACTTGAGATCTGGGCTGAGTTTAAGTCATAATAGTTACTCAAGGCATGGGGCCTCCCTAAGGGAGCATCTGTTCATCATGATTGGTGAAAGGTCTGTGTCCAATTGGTGATGGTAGAATGTCACTAGTTTGGTTTTCGAGACACTGAATGTGACCAGCCAGTTTCTCCTCCCATTGAGCTGTTAGAACTAGGTTAGGAGACAGGTCAGTTACAATAGCATGGCTCTTTATAATTTACCTCTGAAAAATGATCTTAGGGAAAGTCAAAAGTATTTGGGCTAAAAAAAATTATGTCACCTTTCTTGATAGATTTCATCTCAATATCAAGAAACTAATTAAACAACTTGAAAGGATCACTATAAAAATAAGCAGACACAACATGTCTATTATTCAACAAAACAAGTTTTATATATATATAGCCAGAATATTATGGACATCTACTTAATAAGATGTTGATCCTCCATGTATCCACAGAATACATAGTTCTTTCCCAATCAGGCATGAACTCTAAATAGCCATTAATGGTTTCCACTGACATGCAGGTCTTTTGATAGCTACAAATTATGTGCTGGAAGGTGTACAGAGCAAATTTGTTAACCAATACATCTCTTAAATGCACAAAGAGTTCAAGACCTGGAAGATTTTGTGGCCAGAGTCATACAGAGACAACTTCTTTATATTCTTGAAACCATTGTAGTACAACTCAGGTGGTGTAGTAAGCTGTATTGTTCTATTTAAAGATGCCACTACCATTATCTAAGACTTGCTATGAAGAAGTGTGTCTGGTTTTCAATATTCTCAAAGTAGAGATATGTGACAAAGTACGTTCCACATGTTTACCAGCAGAATATTATCCAAACATTTACAATGTCTTCACTGGCTTGTGGTTTTCTCACATTGCATTCTTGTGTCAACACTTCACTAGGAAAACAATGCACACTTAAACTGCTATCCATTTCATTCAAGAGAAAACAAGACTCACTAAAGCAGGTAATCTTCCATTAATACAAGATCCACTTCTGATATTTGCATGCCTGCAGGAGATACTTTTTAGTAAGAGACATTGGTTAGTATTGACTGGCCTATGGCTAATGTGTTATGATGCATTTCTTGCTTTACCTTGATTAAATCTGTATGAAATTTGTGCCACTGTAGCCTCTCTAGTGGTTTGTACTTGTATTGTGGTAGGTTCCACCTAATTTGCATAGTGGAGTACCGACCATATAAATATGGTTGGTACCGGGAAGAGAGGGAGGAATCAAGAGATTCAACCAGAGTCTCTGCCCGACTGCGACTCAGTCAACACATTCTCTAGGAACAGTCTTACCAGGAATATACAAAAGACTATATGTAAATATTGTGTACACTTTCTTGTTTCAATACATTTTGTTCTAAGTACATTTTGTGTTGCATTATTATTCCATGCATTAGTCAAGTTTCAAGAATTTGCTAGAAGAGCCTCCATTTGTTTCTCACATTCTTAAACTGGGGCCATCCAATATCTTGTCAGTGCTTGGTGATTTTTTTTCCCCTATGTAGACCACTGTCAAGATGTATTTGCTTAAATTATCTGCAAGTTGTACCATTTCAGAAATACTCTGACCTTGTCTTCTGGCTAGAACAATTTGGCTTTGATCAAAGTCACTCCTTTTGACTTGCAACATTCGACATATCAAAATGAAGTGCTAAATGGCATGCACATTGACCTCTTGATAAGTGAGAATTTTTCAGCATCTCATATACAAAAATATTCTGGATTTGATCAGATTTTGGGATGTGAGTTGGGCTGAGAACTTTTTACCACCTCCACATATACATGTATCAATGACATAGCATCAAAAATTTCTACTCTCAGATACCCTGATTAAGCAAAGATCTTACCTCAGATAATAGGGAACTCGATTCTGTGTCTCCATCTTTTCCCATCCTGTAGTTATGCGTTCTGAAAAAGTAAAAGAAAAACAAGAATTTAGAAAAAAAAATAGAACTCAGCCCGTATGCCAAACTGATGCAAAAAATTACTTTTATACAGTATATTTTCATTTTAACAGCTTTTGAAGATGTTGCAAAACTCCACAAACCTTAATCTTTTTACTGCTAACAAGACCTGAAGTTAAATCCTTAAAAAGATATTAGATATATATATGCTAACTTAGTTTTATTTACTTTCATCTTCCCATTATTAATTTAAACTTTCTTGGTTAGAAGCAGAGACTGTCAGAAGCAAATAGTAATTATCATTATGTTATTTACTTTGTATTAGTACAAAGTGAAATATGGGGAAAATTGTATTACACCAATATTCCAAAAGAAAGCATTGTTCACCTTGAAAATAAATATTTCAAAACCTATGTTTGAACAGTGATTGATGGCATTGTTACAAAATATATAACTATTTTCAGTCATGAGGCAAGTCATTATAATTTTCTTCATATTATTAATTGTAAGTTAGTTTATCTTTCATTTCCATTGCTTTCAATCTCATGACTAAAGGTGAAGCTATATGATTAAATTTGAATTTTATCTGTTGATGGGGTTTTTGTGGCCAAATTGCTAATGGTTAACACTCTGTAGGTGACTATTTTCGCCAAGCAAAATGTTAGTCCTACCAATGCAAGTTGAATTTGAATTTCTTGGTTGTGTAGTCAGATCCTTCTATGGCAATGCCTAAAACAATCTTGACTGAAATTGAGAGACAGACTACTGCAATTTCAAATATGTAGAACTAATATATAAAAGACTATATTTTGAGGGGATTCCATATACAGTAAAAAGGGAAGTAATATTTATAAATGATGCAGAGTGCTAAATGTTAATTAAGCAGTGGAAACTACAGAAGAAAGATATGTAACTTAACCATGGCCAATTGCTTCACATCTTTAAGCCTTGGTTCAACCAGTTCGAGGTCCCGACCTCCTCTACCGACAAGGCTGAATGCTTTGCTTGGAAATTCTCATTTAATTCAACACTCGACTCCTCCAGTGTACCCATACCATACTTCCCTCTAAGAACTGAGGCCCTATTGAGCGGGTTGCACATAATGCCCAATACCAATGACGGGGTTATCTCCAATTTAGACCTCCACAAGGCTAGTGGTGGAAATGGTATACCAGCCATTGTCTTGAAGAAATGTGCGCTTGAGCTAGCGCCCGTCCTCTCTAAACTATATAATTACTGCCCCAAGGAATCCTGTTTTCCTGACTGCTGGAAGTCCTCATCCATTGTTCCTGTCTTTAAGAACTCTGGAGACCCTTATGACCCCTCTAATTACCCTTCTATTAGTCTCCTACCCCTCTTCGGCAAAGTCTTCGAAGACCTAAACAAAGCCGAAGTGGTTAACCACCTTACCTCACACGACCTGCTCTCAGACAAGCAATATGGTTTCCGCTATGCCCAATCTACAGCTGATGTGCTTACAGCCATCACTGAAACCGTCTACCAAGCCCTTCAAAATAACGGTGAGGCCTGTGCCGTGGCCCTAGACATCTCCAAAGCATTTGATAGGGTTTGGCATGCCGGCCTTCTTCGCAAGCTCCAGGGTTATGGTATTACAGGTCGATTGTTTGACCTAATACAATCATTCCTGTCAAACCGTGAATTGAAGGTCGTTCTCAACGGATTCTCCTCCAGTTCCTATCCCACGAACGCAGGTGTTCCCCAAGGCTCCATCCTTGGCCCCACTCTATTCTTTATTTTCATCAACGACCTTCCTGATGCCATAGATTCCCAAGTTGGCATCTACGCGGACGACACTACAATTTACTCCTGCCTCAAAAACAAATCTAGTGTCGGTGACAAAACTAACCTGGCCGCTCGTCTTGAAATGGACCTCCAATCAGTTGTTAATTGGGGCAAGAATTGACTAGTCAACTTTAACACCTCAAAAACTAAACTACTCTCTATTAATCACCATAGAGATCCCTCCCTGCCCCCCATTAGAATGTCTGATAGTCAACTTCTTGAGAGCAACTCTCTGCGTCTGCTTGGTCTCATGTCGACTGCTGACCTGAGATGGAACAAATATATTGAGTCAATTGCATCGTCCACCTCGAAGAAAGTTGGCTCTGTGCTGCACCAGGAAATTTTTCTCCCTGGAATCAATACTTCAAATATACAAATCAACCATTCGCCCTTGCATGGAGTATTGCTGCCATATATGGTCTGGGGCACCTTCTGTTTACCTCGGAGTTCTTGACAAGATCCAGAGATGGATATGTAATATAATTGGCCGTGATCTGGCATCTCGTCTACAGTCACTCTCTCACAGACACGCCGTCGCCTTTTTTCTACAAATACTTTCATGGTAATTGCTCCGATGAGCTGCTTTCACTGGTTCCCAGACTCCATGAATTCAAGCGCCCTACGAGGCTGGCATCCCGCTCTCACCCTTACACTGTAGAAACTTTTAAATGTAGCTGTCTCTTCTACTCCAATCGCTTCATATCTTGCACCTCTCGCCTGTGGAACACCCTTCCCAATTACTGTTTCCCTGAGAGTTATAATCTCCAACTATTCAAATGTAATGTCAATCGACATCTCCAGTTACCTTGATCTATCCACTATCCCTCTCCTCATCCTTTCTTCTATCACTCCTATCTGCTCTTGCTCCAAATCTTCTGCAACCCCCTGTATCCTAGTGGCTTCACCCCTTGCTCGGGGCATAATGCTTAAAAAAAAGAAAAAAAAAAGTAAAAAACCTAAGTTATATACATATAAGAAAAAAATTATTTCCAATTTACCATGATGTAAAATAATAAAAAGTTTAATACTGAATGTTTAGGGAAAGGCTGCACTTAAGGTAAGCATAGTAAGGAGAATAGATCAGTAGAGTTAGTTTGTCCTTTTTCTCTAGGATTCCTACTAATATTAGTGACTAGTGGCTGCAATGAGGGGGTCACATTGTTAGAATTTATGCCCATTGGTGCCACTATCAATTCTGATTCTTACGTGAACACATTGTCAAAACTCAGAGCCAGACTTCTACAAGACAGGTCACATTTGAAGATGAATGATGTGCTTTTGCAACATAACAATTCAAGCTTCAAATCCAGGCAAACAATCACAGCACATGACTTGACAGCTTTTCCACATTCACCCTATAGTCTTGATCTGATACCTCAAACTTTTATCTATTTGGGCTCATGAAACAGGCACTCTGAAGATAGTGGTTATCTAATGATGAGGTAAAAGGAAACAAATAGCTAACTTGATGCAATTTCCTTTCCAGTATGCAACCTTATAATAATGATCCAAATTTTGTATATTTATTTGTGTGTTAATTTCAAAATAAATTTGTATCAAGATTGAAAAAAGGAAAAATTGAAAAGATTACTAATTGCCATATAAAATAATGATATTAATGAAAAAAAAATTGTTTGTGTGTGTGTATGTAGACCTTGACCTAAAGACCATACTAAGAAATGAAACTGACAGTTATGTAGTGTTGATCCCACATCTACATTGTCTATATCAATAATCTCTGATATTGAGCAACTCTTACACTATAAATATAGAACATTTTAATATACAGCTATAACTTTTTTTTCTCAATTATAAGCATATATGGTCAAAAATCTAGATTTTTTTTGCTGAGCAATTCTATGTGGTTAACAAGCTCGTCTGATTTATTATTATTATTGAATAGGAAGTTTGGACCTCACTGGATGCTATATACTTGTGGCTGTGTACTAAAACTAAACTTAGTTGAGTAGATAAAAAAAACTAGAATCCTGCTAATTAGGAATTAGTAGTTAAAAGCTAAAATTTTGCATGTGGTGTGGAGTTTGATTACTTACAGAGTAGTTTCCCTTATTTATATAATATTTATATAAATTATTCTATAAATAGAAAGTGACATATATATTTGGTGGCTTTTAAGCAAGACTTTGCATAAAAAGGTCATCTAATATATATTAGGATAATCTACTAGTGTCATCACTGCCTCCTTAAATACTTTCATTAGAATTGCTTCCGTGTCATTCTTAAAGTGTACTAGAGTGACTTCATTAGATATGCTGATGGTTTCTTGTATGCCAAAGCCAAAATGCAAAGTTCAAAGTTTACTTGTAATATGTTCTGTAATATTAGCCCAACTCACAGTAATTTGATATTTTTGCACAAATATAGATATTGTTTAGAAATAGGGCAGGTAGAAAATTTGGTTCCAGTCCGTCCAGACATCTTGGTAGGGAATCCAAGTTCCACCCCACACCCTATGAAGCTTGAATAGAAAGTCAAACTTAAAAGAAGGAAGTTGTTGAGTGGCTGGTTTTGCTTTTTATTTGAATGATGACCCAAGGACACTTGCCTTTTTCTTTTCTTTTCTTTTTTTTTTTTAATATAACATAAAAGGCCGAGAAAAACTTAACATTTAATGAATGAACTTTTCTCAATGAAGAGAGTGCAAGTATTATGACTGATGTGTAAGTAACTGATGATAAAACATTTAGTAGTTGAGTCATATTGTTAGAAAATGTAAACAAGTAGGTCTTGTGTAAGCTGTTGAAAATAACTGACAAGAAAATTAAAAATTACTAAAAAAATATATTATTTCATTAGCCCTGTCAAAAAATTACAGCAATATTTAAATATTGTTGCAACTGCACTGCACTTATAAATAAAAAAAAAAAATCTTGTTTCTTTTCAATATTTACTGAATATTAAAACAAAAATAACATTTATTCAAAATTGAATAATCATGATTTTTATCTCACTGGTCGGATAATGAGAATTTTTGATACAGAAAATTATTACACAAACAAAAAACAGAGACATATTTAATTATTTCGCTCCAAGCAAGATGATAATGCCACTAAGACACAAGGGGTTACTGAAAGTGAAAAAGTATGAGAAGGCTTTGGTGAGGAGAAAAAAAAAACAGGATTCAAGAAGTCAGAAGACATTGATTGAAGTATGG